GGTGGGGCTGTGCACGGAGGTACTGTAGGGATCGATGGTCTGTCCGTACTGTTACGTCTGCGCCGGTCAAGTAGCAGCGCCACACCTTGAATGCATGCACGATCGCGAGCATTTCGCGGTCGTGTATCGGGTAATTTCGTTCAGGCGGATGCAGTTTTCGTGATTCGTAGGCGATGGGCTGGAGGCCGTTGCCGAAGTCTTAAAACAGTACGGCTCCAATGGCGATGTCGCTTGCGTCTGTAACAACTTCGAAGGGTCGATGTGGGTCAGCGATGCGTAGGACGGGTGGTGAACAGAGAACATGTTTCAGGGCAGAGAAGGCAGCATGCTCTTTCTCCCCCCACGTAAAAACGACCCCCTTGCGTAGTAAATCTGTTAGCGGGGCTGTTAATCGTGCCATGTCGGGGACGAACCGACGAACGTAATTAACGAACCCAAAAAAACTCTGCAGCTCCGTGATGTTCGTCGGGGGATGCCACGCTTTTACGGTATCCAGCTTCTTGGGGTCGATTTCAACTCCAGCCTCCGAAATAACCTGCCCTAAAAATTCTAGCCTATCCCGAAAAAACTCGCACTTGGAGCCCTTGGTGAGTAACCGATGTTCCTCTAAAATTTTAAACACTGCTTCGAGATCGACTAAGTGTTGCTGCTGGTCGCGACTGTAAACGAGGATGTCGTCGAGGTAAACTATCACGCATTTATCTAAAAGTGGCCTAAACGCCTATTTCATGGTCATCTGAAATATTGCGGGCGCGTTGGTCAGCCCGAAAGGCATCACCGTGTACTCGAATGACCCGTACCTAGTCCTAAATGCTGTCTTGGTGCAGTCCGATGGTTCGACCCGAATTTGATGGTAACCCCCCCGTAAGTCTATTTTCGAAAATACCCGTGCTGTTCGCAACTGGTCGATCAGTTCGTCGCCGCGGGGGATGGGGTATCGCGATTTGACTGTTACTCTGTTGAGCGCTCGGTAATCAATGCACATGCGAAATCCTCCGTCTTTTTTCGGTGTGAACAGTATCGGTGCGGCGAACGGTGACGAGCTCGGTCGGATAAACGGCTTCTCTAACAAATAATCTAACTGCTTCCTTAGTTCGTCGAGCTCGCGGTGTGTCAGTCTGAACTGGCGCTGTACAGTTGGCTGTGCCTCCGGTTCTAACTCGATCCTATGGTCATGCGCCCGCTGAGGTGGCAGTCCTTGCGGTAAATCGTCTGGAAAAATCCCCGGGTACCGTTTCAACAGATCCTGAAGTACGGGCGGTACCGCTGCCAACAGTTTCTTAAAATCGCTCGGCTGCTCCTCTTCTCCTACTAGTGCTATATCCACTGCGTACACGTCAGCTCCCGCGGCAACAACCCGTTTCATCGTGATGGCGTTGACGTGGACCGTTGAAGACTCGGGTGACCGCCAGCGAGGTAGTACGACCCAGTTACCACTACTTCGCACGGTGCAGCTACCCGTCGTCCAGTCAATTCGCGGGTTATATCGTCGCAGCCAATCACGTCCCAATAAAATGTCGTGCCCATCCAGTGTCGTGGCGAGCATTTCCTGTGTAAACCCGAAGTTCCCTCCGCAGCGGATTTTTACTCGCTCCACCTTTTCCCGTATGGCTAGTGGCGTGCCGTCGACTAAGCGTGCGTCTATCTCAGGTAAGCAGCGGTTAAGTGTTAACTGCAGTTTCCGTGCGGTCGCGGTATTAACTAAACTGTGACTTGCTCCTCCGTCAATAATAATCTTCACTGCGGCTCCTTGTATCTTCCCGTAGATCAATACTGGGCAATCCGTCGCTGTACCCTCCTTATTCATCCGAGCCCGTTCGATGGCGTGAATCGGTACTGTGACTCGGTGAGGGTCGGTGCGGTTGGGCGAGCAGGCAGTCTCGTCAGTAGTTGGCCCAACTTCTACTGACTGCTGGCGTTTCCCTGCCTCTGAGACTCCCTCCCCTGCTCTGCTCCGCGGCGCCTCAGCTCTTCTGGGCATTCGCTCTTGCGATGGCCCGGCCTGTTGCAAGCAAAGCAGCGCCCCTTGAACGGTGCGGCAGCTGCATTCGTTGCGACGGCGTGTACAGTGGCGTGCTCGGTCGGTCCCCGAGGGCGATGTCCGTAGTAGGACCCCGGTCTCGGTCGGCGTAGAATGTCGATTTTTTCGGCGAGCGCGAGAATCTCGTTGAAGTTAGAGAGTCTGCGCAGCATGATTTCGTGCGAGATATTCAGCTTCAGCCCTCCGATGTAACGGTCCACCCGCTCCGCTTCGTGCATGTAGCCGACCTGTTCGCAAAGTGCGAGAAAACCGCTTGTATAATCTTGAACCGACCCGAGCTGGCGCCAAGTGCGCAATCTCTGACGCGTCGAAATCGAAGCCGCGATCGGCTCGAAGCGCGCCCGTAGCCCTGCGCACCACGCATCCCACGTGCTGTATTGGGCGGTCTCGCAGAACGAACTCCAGGTGACAGCTGGACCCGTGGGCCCTTCCTCGTGCGACGGTGGCTCGTAGGCGCGTGGCGATGTCACGATGACTCGCCACCAGTCCATGGCGGGGCCCCTTAGCAGCGAAACTGCATACCGGATCTTCGCGGCGTCCGACTCGACGTAGTTTGCGTCGAAGAAGACGTTCATCGTGAAGACCCACGATTGAACCGTCGGACCTCCGCGTTGGCTTAGGTCGAAGCAGGGCGGGCGTTGCGGCTTGAGCAGCATTGGTGCCATAATGGCCTGTTCGCCACTTGTTGCCGCAAATTCCACGTGCCGACGGGCTTCCCGGGGCTCCCGCGGGCTTGGTGCGATCCTGCCTCCTCCCATGTCAGGCATCGGCTGGGCGACACCATCACTGGCTGCGCCTGAGCGTTGTCCCATGCTGTCGTGTTGTGTTGGTGTGCCGGACGAGATGATGATCGGCTCGTCTGATTGTGTAGATGCATTTGTAGGTGCGTGTGGTGTCGCCGGAATGTTCACTGTGGATTGTTGACGGGCGGAGTCACGTTCCGCCGTGAGCGTCGCGATTTCGAGCGCCGAATCTTCTAGTTGACGCACGAGACGATCAAGCTGCTCCTGCGTCAATGTGGCGAGCGTGAAATCGGCCATGGCGGGGGTGTCGGGCAAACTCAGCGAGAGCCTCGGTCGTGGCCGTGCGTGCTTACGAGAGAGCACTACGAGCGGCTTTTTATTCTCTGATGTTATGGTAGTCAAATGCACATTCTCCATGTACCATATTTCACCATCCACCCCGTCCTTTCTTCCCCAGCGTGGACCAGCAGCGCCACCGAATTCCCCTCTCACGCCTGCATGCATCCATGTTCCTGATTAACACGTTTTGGTACTTGCCCTGAGAAACGCTGACCCGGATGGCTGTTCCAAGAATGGAACTTCTTTCAGTTTACAATTTACCCTGGTACTCTTCACTCTCCGTCGAGATAATCATTCTGTACACCGCACGTCCAGAAATGCATCCAGGGTCAGGTGTGATTTATCTTTCAGCCATTGAAAATTATGGGTGTTTTGAGGCGTCGTTCAGGAAGGTGCCAGCGGACATCCGTCCCGTTCAGACCAAAATTTCCTTCCGACAATACCGCTGGGGCTTCACATTCAGCTTTCACCTCTAGCTCTCACATTCAGGAAGTCGAAGGTCCTAGAGAAATTAGAAGCTAGCTGCTAGCCTGACGTGGCTAGACCCTGCGCCCGGGGTATGCTCGCTTACGAAGAAATTTTCGGGAGTAGCAGCGCCGAACACGGTCTGTGGTTAGGATTTATCACTCTCTAGCCCTTAGCAGCGTAGCTGTGAATGAAGAGAAAAATTCAGGCTGTAGTTTTTCTCTGCCTGACAGTTCAGGTTGTTATTTGGCTGTCGGGGGCGTATTTCAAGCGGTTAGATGTAGTAGAAAGTCACAGTTCATTCTAGCTATCGTGGTCGAGCAGGATAGCTCGTAACACCTTAGCTACCTAGAAAACGTACGGCTACAATCGGGTTTGGGGAGATGGCGACGGAGAGGGAGCATCACATCCGTCGGATGGACCGGAACATTTTCGGCCTGCTCGAGGGACACCGTCTCGACTCGCGCGAGGTGTGGGAACGACTTCGAGAGTAGTTTGTTTGACGCTTAGCGTATATCGAGTCGCTTCATACTCGTTAAGAGTTTTCAAAGCAACTCCAGTATTTCCGTGAAAGTTAGAAAAATAATATCCTTCTGTTTCCCTTGGCATCCTTACACGCGTGGTTGTTTCAGGTTTCTCATCCTTACTCTAAGCATGATCTCGTGCTCCGAAAGTATTAGCTGCTTATGATTTTAATGGTTCCCTTGGCATTCCTACCTGTGCGACTGCCCGCGTGTCTATTTCAGGTGCCTCCCCCTTACTGCGAGCATGATTTCGCGCGCCGGATGCAGTTCCACCCTTCGTTAGTGTCACGCCTCGCATTGGAAACCGTCATGGAGGTCGGTGGTGGATTGTGTTGGCTTGTGGTGGCTTGCGAATTTCGAGCCGTTCGGTTTGTTCTGCGCTGTTGCGTTAGACTAAGCAAGCCCTTGGGTTCTTTTTTTTTAAGCTTACTGTTTTCATAGAGAGCGTGGATGTCAATGTTCCTGTATGTATCACATCACACTCCCTGAACCTGAGCTCAAACCCGAATCTGCTTCCTCAGGGTCATCGGGGTTGTGTGAACGCCATAGCATGGAATCGATCCGGCTCTCTCCTTCTCTCCGGTTCTGACGATTTTATGGTAAGAAAAGCTTTAATCCCCAAAGTTTCCTTTTGGTGGGTGGGGGAGAAGGGGGAGGGGGGTGGGGGGTGGTTTGTGGGGGAGTTTGACGATTTTTTTGGTGAATTTGTTAGTAAAGCTGCTTCCGTCCTGTGTCACTTTGTGGACTGATGGATTACAGCCGATCATGCAGTATTCCACAATCAGTAATGCATTCACGTCGTTGGTGTCTTTTTTCTGTGTTATCATGTTCAGCTGCTATAAATACGGTTCAGCGCACTGGCTTGGCTTGTAGGCAGCATCCACTGGAATGCGACTGTCATTCAGTGAAGGAGCCACGTGTTCTTCATACATCATCCTCTTGACTGCCCCTCCTAAGCTCTTCCTCCCTCTCCCCCCCACACTACCCCCTTCCTCCACCGCTCGTATGCATGTACGAGAGGTAAGTATAGTGTTCCTTGAACTTTCTATGTCCCCTCGTTCTCCTCCCCCTTTTTCCACTCCGCAGGTGAACGTGTGGGACTACAACTCACGGAGGTTATTGCATTCAGTGGACTGAGGCAACTCGGGCAACATCCTCTGTGTGCGCTCTTTTCCCCACTGTCTTACCAAACCCCCCATTCCCCCCTATCCCTCCCTTTCTCCTCCCGCCCTCCCCCTTCTGCAGGTGAACGTGTGGGACTACAGCTCGCGGCGGCTGGTGCATTCAGTGGACTCGGGCCACTCGGGCAACATTTTCTGTGTGCGCTTCATGCCTGAGACGGGGGATGATGTATTAGCCTCTGGCGCTGGGGACAACGAGGTGAGAGGGTGGGGGTGGGGGTGGGGGGAGAGAAATGGTGTGGGGAGTAGGGCACTGGGCTGGGCTAAGTGCGCGGTTGACCCAGCTGGGCAACGACTTCTGTGCCCGAGTCCAGGCTGGGCTGGAGAGAGTGAAGGCGTGTGGGGGGATGCCCACCTGGTAGAAAATGAGGAAATGCCATCCCTCGTGCTGCAAGGTGGGAGAGGGGTTGGGAGGGGGACAGGTGGGACAGACACAAGGTAGGAGGGGATGAGAAAAAGCCCTGCCTCTTGTAGACATGCTATCAAGCCCAGGGTCAATCACCACCCAGCCTAACAGGGCGTGCTATGCTCAAAAGCAGCAAGTCATTGTGCAGCACAACCGACAGGAAGAAAATGTCGAGAGTGGGATTTGAACCCACGCCCTTTCGGACTGGAACCTTAATCCAGCGCCTTAGACCAACTCGGCCATCTCGACATATTTCTCTGGAAGGGGCGTTTAACCCAGGCGTTTCTGAGCTTTTGCTCCTCCCATCAGGCGTGCACCTACTCTTTAGATTCATCACTCCTACCCTCTGCACAAATCTCGCATTTATTTCTCTCACCTCCTTCTTCCCTTGCCTCCCCCTTCTCCCTAACCCAATCAGGTGCGAGTGCACAGGCTCTCACGCTCCACTGCTCCTGCCCCTACCACGTCATCCTCCCCCTCTGCAACTGGTTCGCCCGGTGCCGGTCGGCAAGATTTGTCTGCATCCGGCGGTCCGTCCCATTCATCAGAGCAGGCAGCAATGTTCCGGTGCCACAACCGACGGGTCAAGAAGCTTGCGGTGAGTGTGAGATGAGATTGGAGTCGCTTTTTAGGAATTTGTGAAGAGACTCCAACGTAGGTGCCACAATCCATGGGCCACAATCCATGGGCCACAATCCATGGGCCACAATCCATGGGCCACAATCCATGGGCCACAATCCATGGGCCACAATCCATGGGCCACAATCCATGGGCCACAATCCATGGGCCACAATCGTGTTTGTCACAGCAACGCAAGAACGCAGCAACATAACCTCATAACCTGAAAGAAGCAGCTTTTCGGCTGTACCATCACCTCCTCCTTTGGCTGCTCCTGCTGGCATCGTGTGTGCGTGCTTGCACCTCTCTGTGTGCCTGTAACGAGCAGGTGGGGTGCGAGTGAGGATGCCACACTGCGCCAGCACAACCTGAGAGAGGCGTCTGTCTGCCCTCCTTCATTACCTCACACCCTCATCTCTTCCTCTCTCCGCCCCTGTCCGCCCCTGTCCGCCCCTGTCGCTCCTGCATGTGTGTGTGCTTGCACCTCTCTCTGTGTGCCTGTAACGAGCAGGTGGAGGAGGGCAATCCGCATGTGGTGTGGAGTGCAAGTGAGGACGCCACACTGCGCCAGCACGACCTGAGGGAGACGTCTGTCTGTCCTCCGCCCACCACACACGCGCGCCCGCACTCGCCTCTCCACCACTCCCTCTTTCACGGCGCCTCAGAATGCCGCAGTGTGCTGGTATGCCAGCCAAACCATTCCCCCCTCCTTCTGACCAGTGTGACCCCTATTTCTGACCAATGTGTCTGATATGCCACATGGGTGGCAGAAAATAGGGCTTGAGTGCGACTGCCCTAGTCCTGCCGCCCACCACTCAAGCCCCGCACTCCCCTCGCCACCTCTCTCTCTTCTGCGGTGCCTCTCGCACTTATTGATGTCACGCTGTGCTGGTATGCCTATGGGCCAGTGGGCCATGTCGTCTCTCTCATTCCCTTCCTCACAGGTGCTTTCCTGCCTATATTCTCCGCACTTGGAGAGGCACCCACACACCCCTGCAATCCACACCCTGCCATTTACACCCCTACCATTTACACGCTCATGTCTTCTCCCTTGCAGCTTGACCTTCGGGCAGCTGGAAAAGTTTCGCTCGAGGATCCTGCTCGCGATTCATTGGCTCTCAAGTCTTGTGCCATCAGCCCGACCCGGCCACACCTGCTGATGGTGGGAGGAAGGTGAGTTTGCTCCGTCCGTTTTGAGACGTCTCAAAACACTACTTCATACATGTGACCACACCTGCTGATGGTGGGAGGAAGGTGCGTTTGCTCCGTCCGTTTTGAGACGTCTCAAAACACTACTTCATACATGTGACCACACCTGCTGATGGTGGGAGGAAGGTGAGTTTGCTCCGTCCGTTTTGAGACGTCTCAAAACACTACTTCATACATGTGGCCACACCTGCTGATGGTGGGAGGAAGGTCAGTCCCCCCTCCCTGTAATTGGTGCATCTGCTTGCCTCTGCCATAGTCCGTCCGTCCCCACACTCGCCCCTCTCCTTACCCCTGTGCTCTTTCCTCCTCCCCTCGCCCCTTCCAGTGACGCCTTTGCTCGCATCTACGACCGTCGAATGCTCCCGTCACCCTCCTCCCTCTCGCGCGCCTCTCCTCGCCCCAAGCCCCCGCCCCCTCTGCTCCTGCTCGCCCCCAGTCACCTTTCTGAACCGGTATGTCCCGTCAGTCCGTTTCAGCACCCCTCACCACCATGCAGTACCCCTCAGCTCACCTCTCAGCACCCCTCTCTACTCCTGCCCGCCTCTCACCACCTCTTTGAATTGTTATGTTGTGAAAGCACTTGTTGTAAGTGTGTGCTGAGTTGGACCCCCCTTCCCTCCCCCCCCCTCTCTTCCCCCTTCCTCCCCTCCCAACTACCTGCTCCTGCTCTTCCTCAGAGTGTCGTTTCCCATATAGGACCTAATCTTCCTGGCAATTCCGCATCTTTTTGTACTTTCTTTCCGTGTCTCCCCTTCGTTTCGTGTTCCCACCCCCTCAACTCGCAAAACCTTCCAACTTACCACTCTTCAACCACCCCTCTTATAAATCTCCCTGACCCCTCCTCTCCTGTCCCTTTCACTCCCCCCACCGTCCTCCCTCATTCCATTCCAATCCCCGAATCCCCCCGAAGTTTGAAGAAGGGTTTTGAGACGTCTCAAAACCCTTCTTCTTTCACTCCCCCAACCCTCCTCCCTCATTCCTTTCCAATCCCCCAATCCCCCCGAAACCCTCCCTCCCTGCCGCAGCAAGGGCGCTCAGGCCTGCACCTGACCCACGTGGCCTTCTCAGCCTATGGGGAGGAGGCGTTGCTGAGCTACAGTGGCGAGCACGTGTACCTGTTTGACCTGGATCGAGGTGGGCAGAGCACCCCCTGTTGACTGCGTTGACCTGGAGAGAGGAGGGATGAGAGGGGTGATGGGTGGGAGGTGAGAGATGAGAGGAGGGAGGAGAGGAGCAGGTAGGCAGGTGGGGTGTATTTTCCGCCTTTTCTACTTCCTTCTTGTTTTTTCTCCCTTTGTCCCCCTCCTGTTCCCCCTACCCTCCTCCCTACCCTCTCCCCTCCTCTTCCCTCTTTCCCTCATCTTGCTCTCGCTGCCTCTTTTTCACACAGCAACCTGCTGTGTGACGAGGGCAAGATGGTTGCCATCTATGCTCGCATTCCTGCTGACGTTGCTGTGCGAAAAAGAGGAGAACCTGCAGCAGGGATGCGAGCCATCTATGCTCGCATTCCTGCTGACGTTGCAGCTTCTCACATGCTACTTATGAACCGCCTTGGAAACATTCTGCATTTTCCGCTCTCCTCTCTTCCCCCTCCCCCCTCCTCCATGTCCCCTCTGCCTGTCTTCTTCTTTCTCAGCAACCCTGCCATCTATGATTTACACTCCTGCTGACGTGGCGGCGTCTCACAGGCTGGCTCCGCTCAAACCCTCGGACATTCATTACAATCACACCGCCGGCCCCACCACCACCACCACCACCACTGTCAGCAACGGCCGCACTAACGGGTTTTGCCAATCAGGCAACCACAACCAGCAGCAGCAAGAACAAGAACACATTATTTGCAGCAACAGCAAGCATAAGCCCTCCTCTCCTCACTTGAAACCCCACGGTCCTAAGCCCGTTGCAGCTAAGCCCGCACAGCCTGCTAGCTTTGGGGAGAAAGATAAGAACGGCGCTCTTCCGAAGCAGAGCGACAGGTTCGGCAGCGCCAGCAGCAGCAGCGTGTGGGATAGGTACACCAATGGACGGACTGAATTGCCTCGGGCAGGAGTGGTTCGGGACCGAGCCGTGGGCCCAGGCTTGGGACCAAGGGACCGGGATTATACCAAGGTTAGTGGGGTGGACTCCTTAGCTTCTTTCCCTCACCCTGCTTGCTCATTCCCCCCAACTCCCCACCCACCCCAGCCCCAAACCCCACCCCCGCCCCTCACCCACAGCCCCTCACCCACAACCCCTCACCCACAACCCCTCACCCACAACCCCTCACCTCCACCCTGGCTCCCTGCTACTTCCACCCCGCGCAGTCGTTTGCCTCCCTGTTCTCCTGCTTTGCTTCCTCGTCTCCTGCTTTTATTCCTCTTCCCCGCTTCTCCCTGTTGGCTTATAAGCGCCTTCTGTTTCCCCCCCTTGCCTTCCTTCTCTTGTCGTCTCTTCCTGGTTCCCGTTCTGTCTTTGTCTTGTGACTTTCCTCCTGCTTTCCCCTCCTTCTTTTCCTTCCCTTTTCCAGCTGCAAGAATGCGAGCAGCTGCTGGAGGAAGCTTCTGCGATAGTTCTCGGCCTAGAATCCGAGTCAGAAGCAGGCAGGCCGGCAGGCGAGAGGGGAGAGGGGGCGGGAGGGGCATCAGGACCTGCCTCAGGTGCCGCCCCAGGTGCCGCCTCAGGTGCAGCGTCAGGTGGGGCCGGCAGGAGGGCGTCAAGGGAGAGCACGCAGGCTCAGCAGGTGGCGTCTGGGCGGCGGGCCAGCCTGGCGACAGACTTGTGCAGTGCAGTGCTGGAGGAGGGGGGGGATGTGATTGGGCCGGGGGTGCGGCACGATGCGCTCTGCACCAGAGCTGCTGCAATGCTGGAGGTGAGTACTTATGGGTGACTATCGTTGAAATTGGTTCAAGGCAAAGGGCAAAGGACCAGTCTGGCGATGGACCTGTGCAGTGCGGTGCTGGAGGAGGGGGGGGATGTGATCAGGCCGGGGGTGAGGCATGATGCGCTCTACACCAGAGCTGCAGCGATGGTGGAGGTGAGTCTTTATGCCCAGCTTGCTCGTGACGTGATGAGTGTTGGTCAGTCCTTCGGCAGTGCATGTTTTTTGAGAATTCTCAAAAAACTTAGAGTCCTTAGGCTAGTGTATTGTTGAGTTGGGTCAAATGATGGATGTCAGTGGGTTGGGGTAGGGCACGATGCGCTCTGCACCAGGGCCGCTGCAATGCTGGAGGTGAGTCGTTATGGGTTTCCGTTGCTGAGTTTGGTGTAGGGGCAAAGGGCCAGCCTGGCGATAAACCTGTGCAGTGTGGTGTTGGAGGAGGGGGGGGATGTGATTGGTCCAGGTGTGCAGCACGATGCTCTGTGCACCAGAGCTGCTGCAATGCTGGAGGTGAGTCGTCATGCTAAGTTTGTTTTTGCTGATTTAAACTATGATCCACCATTATTTATGTTGGCTCAAAGATACTCACCGTTGCTGTTAGGAGAGCTGTTTGATTCTTTGAAATGATTCTCGCTCTTACAATCTGTTCTGTGATCTTACAGAGGGGATGGAAGAATGACGATCTGATGGTGTTGCGTGACTGTAACGAAGCCAGGCGGATCCTTCCCACGTCCATCCGCGCTCATCTCTACATGGCCCATGCCTTCTCCCAGGTAGGTTGACCCCCCGTTGACCCCTGTTGACCTCCGTGGATCCGTTGACCTCTGTTGACCTCCGTTGACCTCCATTGACTTTGCATTGTACAACATTGTACAATATTGCATCCTAACACTTCGTAGTACCTACTTAATACACGCACAGTTCTGCTTTGGCACTAAGCTGGCCATCCCAGTCCATCTGGCTCTCTTCTCTGCCTTAGTCTCCAGCGTCCCATGGCGGCATGGCCTCTCCCAGGTGGGCTTGCCTTCGTTGACCCTTGTTGACTTTCTTTGACCTCAGTTGACCTGCATTGACTTGCATTGACCGGTGTTCCTGCCTTTGCTATCTTTCCGCTTTCACCAGCTGTCAGCCGCTGCAGAACATTCAGTTCGGCTGTCAATAGCGGACAGGTGGGCAGCGGAGGCCTTACATTGAGGTCTGCTGCTTTGGAACTCTTTCGTGAGACATCCAGACATTTGTTAGGCTCTCACCTTTCCCCGAACACCTTCTCCCTCCCTGGTGTTCGTTCATCCCTGCAGCTGGGCCAGCATCAGGAGGCGGGGCGGTGAGTTTGCAGAGTTTTAACACGTCTCAAAACAACTCCCCCTCCCTTGTGTTCAATCAACCCCCAACCCCCAACCCTTCCCCCTTCCCGTGTGCGCATTCATCCCTGCAGCTGGGCCAGCATCAGGAGGCGGTGGAGTTTGCAGAGCGAGCAGCCATGTTTGACAGCAACCTCTCCTCCTACGTGGTGTCTCTGCGAGCCAAGATGGCTGCTGCAGGTGAGGGAAAGGGGTGGGGGATGGGGTTGGGTCGACTCAGAACTAGTTTGCAGAGCGAGCAGCCATGTTTGACAGCAACCTCTCCTCATATGTCATGTCTATGCGAGCCACGATGGCAGCTGCAGGTGAGGGAAAGGGGTGGGGGATGGGGTTGGATCGACTCAGGACTAGCTTGCAGAGCGAGCAGCCATGTTTGACAGCAACCTGTCTTCCTATGTCATGTCTCTACGAGCCAAGATGGCAGCTGCAGGTAGGTAATGAAAGGCCCTCACCTCACCACACCTCGCTTAACCTCACCTCACCTTACCTCACACAGACGATTAAATCCCGTCTCCAATACTGAACTTTTCTTGCCCTGCATCTCTTCCCCATCCCCCCTTCCCCATTCACCATTCCCCCTCCCCTCTTCCCTGTCCTTTCCCCTTCCGCTTCCCCTGCAGAGGAGGGGAGGCAGAATCGCCTGAGCGCATGGGGGCAGCCGCACACGGGGGGAGGGGGTTGGGCTGGGAGCAGCAGCAGCAGCAGCGGCACCAGCAGCAGCGGAGGCAGTCCCTCTGCTGCTACAGCTGCTGAGCCTGTTACTACTGCCCCTGGTTCAGGTATAGAGTCTGTGGCAGGGGCAGGTGCAGCAACTGAAGCAGGGAGGGAAGCAGGGGAAGACACAGACGCTGTGGGAACAGGCAGAGGGATGGGAGCTGCTGCAGGCACTGCTGCAGCAGCTGGTGATGCTCGTGCTGATAGCGCTTTGGGTGGTTCTGGGGACCCCAGTCGTGGTGCTGCTGCTGCTACCGGTGGTGCTGCTGCTACAGGTGCTACTGCTGCTGCTGGTAGTGGTGTTACAAGTGGTGCTGCTGCTGCTGCTGGTGGCAGTGGTAGCGGCCACAGCAACCCACACAGGCGCATCAGCATTCGCTCGCTAAGTGACTTACTTAGGTCGCGCTCGCGGCGACGGGGGCACTTACTTGGCGAGAATGAAGGCTTGGCTTCGACCGGAGAGGCACCAGCAACAGTGGAGGAAGAGGAGCGAGTGGGGCCGGAGGGAGTGAGGAGAGAAGGCGTGGGGGCAGAGGGACAGGAGGCAGGGGCATTGGGGGCACGGGGAGCAGGGGATAGGGGAGAGGGTGATAGAGTGGAGGGCAGTGAGGCGAGGAGGGAAGAGGAGGTGAAACTGGCAGAGGAGGGAGTAAAGGAAGAGGGTGGGGAGGAGGGTGCAGAGGAGAACGAGGCGGATGAAGGGGAGGCGGAGGAGGAGGAAGAGGAAGAGGATTTTGAGGTTCGTGTGGACGTGAGACTGGGTGCTGGCGTAGAAGCAGAGGAGAGAGAAGCAGACAGGGGGAATGAACTCGTGGGAGGAGGAGCGGGAGCAGTGGGAGGAGCGGGAGGAGCGGGAGGAGGAGGAGAAGCGAGTGGGGGAGCAAGGAGGGTGAGTCTGAATCTTAGACTGAGGAGGAGCAGAGAAGGGGAGGAGGACCGAGAGGAGGAGGGAGTGCGACGGGAGAAGAGTGCGCGAGGGGCGGGTGGAGAGACGAGGAGAATGGGGGGCGGGAGTGTGGGCGCGCGGGAGGAGGGAGAAGAGGAGGACGAGGAGGGGGAGGAGGGTGAGGAAGGCGAGGAGGAAGAGGTGAAAAGGGGGATGAGGGCGGTGGATATGCGGCAGCGCTTTGTGGGGCACTGCAACACGGGGACGGATATCAAGCAGGCGTCTTTTCTGGGCGACCGGGGGGAGTTTGTGTCGAGTGGGAGCGATGATGGGCGGTGGTTTGTGTGGGAGAAGCGCACTGGCAGAGTGGTGAAGATGCTGGCAGGGGACGAGCATGGTGAGTGGGACGAGCATGGTGAGTGGGACGAACATGGTGAGTGGGACGAACATGGTGAGTGGGACGAACATGGTGAGTGGGACGAACATGGTGAGTGGGACGAACATGGTGAGTGGGACGAACATGGTGAGTGGGACGAGCATGGTGAGTGGGACGAGCATGGTGAGTGGGACGAACATGGTGAGTGGGACGAGCATGGTGAGTGGGACGAGCATGGTGAGTGGGACGAGCATGGTGAGTGGGACGAGCATGGTGAGTGGGACGAGCATGGTGAGTGGGACGAGCATGGTGAGTGGGACGAGGTGAGTGGGACGAGCATGGTGAGTGGGACGAGCATGGTGAGTGGGACGAGCATGGTGAGTGGGATGAGTATGGTGAGTGGGACGAGCATGGTGAGTGGGACGAGCATGGTGAGTGGGACGAGCATGGTGAGTGGGACGAGCATGGTGAGTGGGACGAGCATGGTGAGTGGGACGAGCATGGTGAGTGGGACGAGCATGGTGAGTGGGACGAGCATGGTGAGTGGGACGAGCATGGTGAGTGGGACGAGCATGGTGAGTGGGACGAGCATGGTGAGTGGGACGAGCATGGTGAGTGGGACGAGCATGGTGAGTGGGGCGAGCATGGTGAGTGGGGCGAGCATGGTGAGTGGGACGAGCATGGTGAGTGGGACGAGACGAGCATGGTGAGTGGGGCAAGCATGGTGAGTGGGGCAAGCATGGTGAGTGGGGCGAGCATGTTGAATGGTGGGGTGAGACATGGTGAGAGAGGATGAGGATAGGGCGTGATGTACGGCATGGCAGCACATGGCAGTTGGTGTTTGACATGCGTGGCAGGGCATGTGGGAATGGGCGAGTGTTTGAGTGGAAAACGCGGACTGTCAGGGTGGTGAGGATACATACAGGGGACGAACATGGTGAGTGGTGGGGTGAGGAAGGGCATGGTTAATGAATGGGGTGACATGATATGACTCACAGGCTTGAGAGTGGATGATACGCCATGGTATGGCATGAGTGTGCATGGCAGTGCGTGACCCCCTCTATTCCTTTGTTGCCTGACTCTTCCTACTCCGGCTCTCCTCTTTATCCATTTGCTCCGTTGTGAAACGTTCTCCAAGGACACTCTCCCCTCCCACTTCACCCTAATGCTAGTGGTGAACCTTTCAGTGTCATGTGATTGACTGCTGATTAGGAGCAACCCCCCACTCGTGACTTGATCCCATGATCCCCCCTTCCCATGCTTCCCTCTTCCCTCCCCTTCCCCGCAATTCCAATTTCAGTGGTGAACTGCATTCAGTGTCACCCAGTCGACTGTTGTGTGGCCACCAGCGGCATCGATGACACCATCAAGGTCAGCCACAGCATCTGGATTGGCTGATTCTGGGCCTTTTTCCCCATGCATCCCTCTCCTTCGCATCCTTCTCCCCGGATTGCATCCCTCCCTTTGGGTCCCTCTTTCCTCCCTCTCCCTGCATCCCGCTTCATCCCCACCTAATTCTCCTTCAAATTCATTCCCGTGCCTCTGTTCCTCCTCCTCCCCCCATCAGTTGTGGACGCCCCATGCACCATCGGCATCAAGGGTAGCAGCAGGGGTGGGGGGGCCTGAGCCGGCCGACATGATTCGAGTGATGGTGGAGAACCAGCAGCGCATGCGCCGACCTCGCGAGTTCTTTGCGTGAGTGCTCCCTCACCTCGCTTTTTACTGCGTACATTCTCCTTTCGGAAAAAGGGCATGCCTTATTAACTCTAGGTTGACATGGTATGTAATCTACGGTATTGCATGTTGGCCTCTTTGTGCTGCACCACTGGTGATTCACTGAGGATGTTCTTCTCTGTTCGATGCAATCTCTCCGTACAGGCCTATGGAGCTTCTGCAGCGCCTGCAGATGCATGAGAACGCAGGATTTGAATGTGCGCAGTCCTGAGCGTCTTGGAGTGTAAAGAGGGTGACGTGGTGTATGCGTGCACATCGATGAACAGTTTCGCCAAGACTTGAATAATCTAGCATATGATGCTCCAATGCAGTTGTGTATAGAGATAGTCAAGCCCTTCTAACATCTTGCAGAGAGTGCTTGGACTTGAGAAGGATTTTTTGTCTGTTGATGTTGGAAGGACTGGAAGAAATTGTACACAGAAACTACAGTGCGTGGAATGTATGCCGAGTATGTATACGAAAAACTATATCGGAAATCACTGGTGCCTGGATGTAAGGAATTTTCTCGGCATTCCTTACGGAGCCCGACTACATCGCGTACAGCAACAGCCGTTGTTCGCCCGTTACTGCTAGCGGGGCCTCGCCGACTTCGCGCGCACTGTTTCACCAAACCTCGCACTGCTGGTCTGGCCGTGTCGGCCTACGCTTCGGGACTAGCCCGAGCCTCGCTTCCAGCGTAGCACTAGCTAGCTCGCACGCACCGCGTTACCGTTTGCATGTTTCGCGTATAAATGTTCGCTCATGCCTTCGCTCACATTTTGTACTCGTTTGACACCTTAGTGCAATTCTCGCTACTTCGATTCATTGCACCCGTAACACTGGTCCTGGATTTATGTTTTCGCTTCGCTGACTTGGCGTTACGCGCGGGAAGCTGCCACTGCGGAGAGGTGAGAGACGGGGGAGGCGTGGTTGAGCCCTTTCTCCTCGGTCGTGACTTCCGCGCACGTCTCTTAAGTAGAGGCCGCGCAGATATGCAAGCATTGGTTGCGCCGACGTAAGGGGAAGCCCACGCACGTGGTAGTCAACGCTGTCAATGCCCGGTCCCTGCCTTATGATTGGCTTTTTTGCCTCCAACCAGGCGGTGCGTTGCCTCGCTGGCATACATTTCCGCCTTTCTCCCGATTCCCGAACCGCCCCCCCTTTCTTCCTCTTCTTCCCCCCCTCTCATCCCATTCCTTTCCTCCCCCCTCTTACATTTGCTACTCGTCTGAATAAGTTCTGTCATCACTTTTCTTTTTCCGAGTCCACCTCATTCCAGTATCACAGTACTACATGTATGCTTGTTGTTCGCCGTTCCAGAAGCGAGTTAGTTTTTGGTACCCAGCTTATTGTTCAGCTGTACTCGCAACGTTTGCTTACTAGGGAAAGATTTTTTGGGACTTGTTGTAGTTATTTTTTTCTTCAACCGCTTGCTCGGAAACAGCAAATGGCTCGACGAAGGACCAACGTGATGTTTCTTTTCGGACTGCTGGCGTGGATACTACTTTACCCGACAACGGTTTCCTCCCAGAGTTAGTCCTGTTCTCATACCCATTGGAAAATATGATTCCTGTTCTGCTTTCTGTTATCCTCAAACTACAAGCTTTTATCGATATATTCTTAACGATTACTACGTAGAGAACGTCTACTTGATTTCGTACGTTTACGAAGATGCACCGAGATAATCTCTCCTCTTAATTCAATCTCTTTAACGTTGGACTCGTACACTGTCTCGTCGTACGTTTATCGCTGCGACCACAGACACTGTAGAGCCCTCTTGTCATTAAATCAAAAGTTTTTTGTGTGGAGTGCGGAACGCTCGTTCAAGTTCGAGTCAATGTCCGAACTTGAATTTGAGACGACTCGAAACGTCATTGTGTTTACCTCAATATGTGCAGTGCGGAACCTTCATTCGCGTTCGATTCAGTGGACGGATATGTTTTTTTTCACCTCTACTTTGCTTTCCAGTTCCCTCTCTCGCGTTCGACTCGACTATCATGGATATGATGTCTCTTCATCTTATTTTCTCTTGTTTATATCTATCCGCTTTTCAACTACTAGTTGGATTGACAAGAGTAGGAAGCTGCGAAAGAGTGACTCCCAAAGTTGCGAGGAAGTAACGAAATAATTGCGGGAAAACATCTGGGGCGGATACTGATTCGCAGTTCCATATAGTATATCGAACTTATCTTAACTATATCGTACCCACCTCCCCCCCTCCCTCCTCGCATCAGGCATGCAAACGTGCTCTGGAAGCAACTGCAACACCACCATCACCACCACCACCACCAACAACAACACCAACTCTGCTAACGCCAACGCCGCCGCAAATTCCGGCAGCAGCGGCGGCAGCAGCGATTCCTCGAGTTTTAACCTCCCCATGCCTGCAATCATCGGGATTGCAGCGGGAGGAGCCATTGTGCTGCTGCTGGTAGCCATTGCGATCGGGCTCGCAGTGTGCAAGCCTCGCAAGACCGTGATTCGCCACGTGCGCGCTGCACCGCCACCCCTGCCAGTTGTGTACAAAGGTGCGAGGTGTGCGGGACGGTTGGGAGTGTTGTGGAACGGTTGCGAGGTGTGTGGAACGGTTTGGGGCTCTTTGCTATTGGGCTTACGGTGTGCCGCCGCCTCACAATGCGATGTGTGATTGTGATTTATCCCGTGAAACTTGTGCGGCCTCCATCCCCACTTCTGAAAAATGTGATCAATGGTGCGAGGGTTGTGGAAACGGTTGGGAGTTGTGTGGAGCGGTTGAGAGGTGTGTAGAACAATTGCGTTCCTCCCTATCCAAGTGTGCATCGCTGTTGAGAATATGTTGCCCCGCCTCCTCAGAGGGCGATGTGTGATTGTGTGTCAGCAATGGTTGAGCCATGTTGCATACAGTCACCGTCGTCTCGTCTCCCTTTCCCCCTTTTCCTCTTCCCCCCTCCCCTTCCCCCATTCCCCCCAGGCGCACCTCCCCCCATGATTCCCTACCCGGGAGGCCCCCCACCCCCCCAGGGCATGGGGGGAGCTGCTATGGCGGGGGGAGCAGCCATGGGCGCAATGGCAGGGGGAATGGGCGCAATGGGGGGGATGGGGGGCGGACAGATGGGCGGTGGGGGGCAGATGATGGGGGGAGGAGCGCAGATGGCATCAGGTCCGAACGCCCCTCCTTGGTCTGCAGGAGCCATGGGGGGAGCGGAGGCAGCGGGGGGGATGGGCGCAATGGGGGGAGGCGGGGGGATGGGGTCAGGGCACATGGGGGGAGGCGGGGGGATGGGGTCAGGGCACATGGGGGGAAGGGTGGCGGGGCAGGCAAGTCAGGGCAGCTCGGCCGGGTCTGTTGCGAAACAGGCGCTGCTTCAGGTGCGTTTTCAGGTGCTTCAGGTGCGTTTTCAGGTGCTTCAGGTGCGTTTTCAGGTGCTTCAGGTGCTTCTGGTGCGTTTTCAGGAGCTTCAGGTGCGTTTTCAGGTGCTTCAGGGGCTTCAGGCGAGTTTCAGGTGCTTCAAGTGCATTTTCAGGTGCAGCACCAGCAGAGACGGGGCATGCTACTTGCAGCTGGGTAGACAACAGGCGGATTGGCAGCAGCAGCTTCGGAGACGTGTATCGGGGGTTCAAATTTCGAGACGTCTCACCTGTCAGCTTCGGACACGCGTATCGGGGATTCAACCCATTCTTTAGGCGCCTAAAACAAAGCAGCTTTGGAGACCCATGCATCGTGGCGTGGGTTCCACCCGTATAACCCCATCCGCCTCCCCTTTTTTCTTTTCACTTCCTCCCTCTTCCCCTTACCCTGCCCCTCACATTCCCTTGCCTTGTAGGTATTCAGGGATTACTCTTTAGCAGCAATGGAGCAGGCTACTTGCAGTTGGGCCGAGAACGGGCGGATCAGCAGCAGCAGCTTTGGGGGCGTGTATCGGGGGTTCAACCCGTATAAGGGCGTATCCCTGGGTGGTGGCAGGGCAACTGTAGCTGGCACTGTTGGTGGCATGCGCATTTTCCGGGCCCCTGTGTTTTTGGGAAAGTTGCCACCAACCTTGCCAGCTACAGTGGCCCTGCCACCAGCCAGGGATACGCCCTAACTCCATTTTTCCTCTTCCTCCTCCTTTCCCCCACTTGACAGGTGTTCAGAGAATCATCTTGAGCAGAGATGGAGCAAGCTAGATTTGACTTTTGAGTCGACTCAAAAGAGTTGACTTTTGAGTTTTGAGTCGACTCAAAGTCAACTTTTGAGTCGACTCAAAAGTCCTCCTCCTTTCCCCCACTTGACAGGTGTTCAGAGAATCATCTTGGGCAGAGATGGAGCAAGCTAGATGTAGCTGGGCGGAGAACAGGCGGATTGGCTAAGCCGTTTCATCCCTTCTCCCCGCATTCTTATCACTGCCCTGCTCCCACCTCACTTCCCTGTCACAGGCATTCCGAGAATACTCTTTAGCAGAGATGGAGAAGGCTACATGTGGCTGGGCGGAAAACAGGTGGATTGGCCCATCCTGGATCCCTTCTCTCCCCTTTTCCGCCTCCCCTCCCCTTGCTTGTAGGTATTCCAGGAGTACTCGCTACCAGAGATGGAGCAAGCTACTTGCATGTCATGCCTCGACCTCCTCCCTCCACCCCCTCCCTTCCACTCCTCCCTTCCTTCCCCTTCTCCCCTTGCTTGTAGGTATTCCGGGAGTACTCGCTACCAGAGATGGAGCAGGCTACATGTGGCTGGGCGGAGAACAGGCGGATTGGCAGCGGCAGCTTTGGAGACGTGTATCGGGGGTTCAACCCATATAACCCCGACGAGACTTGGGCAGTCAAGCGCTCGAGGATCATCACCCAAGACTTTCAGCGGGAGGTGGGTTGCTTTAAAAGGGGTATGAGGGTTCAGCCCGTGTAATCCTGTAGATTGGCAGCGGCAGCTTTGGGGATGTGTATAGGGGGTTCAACCCGTATAACCCCAAAAAAACATGGGCGGTTAAGTGGTCGAGGATAATCACCCAGGACTTCCAGGGGAGGTGAGTGGGCTTGTAAGGGGGATATGCGTTTAGAAACACTGTCTGCCATTGATTCGATCTCTGGGGTACGGCATTTTTTGTCGCCTACTTGATTTGCGAGTGAGTCGACTTTTGACCGTTGGGATGCAGCATACAAATAAATTAACGCACCGCTCTTTGAGTCGCCTCAAAGAATCGACTTGTCACTGCTGTGGGCTGCAGCATACGTGTATGAAGAAGTGTTTTGAGACGTCTCAAAGCATACGAGCCAACTCACCGCTCCTCCCTTCTCCATTCTGCTTCTCCCCCTACCGTTCTGTTCCTCCCTACCCTCCCCTCTCTCCCTCCCACCAGGTGAAGGAGATGGCATCGAAGCACCACCCAGTGCTGGTTTGACTGCTGGGCTATAGCATAAAGTTCAACCCGACCGCTCGTCGTGAGGTGCATTTTGAGGCGCCTCAAAATGCACCTCTCTACACGCAGATGGCATTGAAGCACCACCCAGCGCTGGTTCGACTGCTGAGCTGTAGCATAAAGTTCAACCCGACCGCTCGTCCTTCCCCCAATACTCTTTTTCGCCTCACTTTTTCCCCCACCCCTCCCCTTTCTCCTTCTCCCCCCCAACAGGTGAAGGAGATGGCATCGAAGCACCACCCGGCGTTGGTGCGACTGCTGGGATACTGTATTGATTTCAACCCCCGCACTCAGAACATGGAACAGATTCTGGTGTATGAGTTTGTGGATAACTGCGACCTCGAGAAGTGGCTGAGCCAAGGTGAGAGTGACTTGGGTGGGGTGGGGTGGGGTGGGGTGGCATGGGAAGAGATGGGGTGGGTGCGAGTGCAGGTGGTGATAGGCGTGACAGAGGGGCTGCAGTACCTTCACAGAGGGGCTGCAGTACCTTCACAGAGGGGCTGCAGTACCTTCACAGAGGGGCTGCAGTACCTTCACAGAGGGGCTCTCCCCATACCCCCTCATGCAGTACCCCACACCATCTGTGTGTGCCGTACTCCTGTGTTCGCCTTGACGCAGACACACCTCGGCCACTCATGGCAAAGGTGATGATAGGCGCTGCGGAGGGCTGGCAGTACCAAGGGTATACTGATGCAGCACAGCTTGCCGCATTCCCCTTGACACAGACACACCTCGGCCACTCACGGCAAAGGAGCGAGCGAAAGTGATGATAGGCGTGGCGGAGGGGCTGCAGTGCCTGACTGACTGCTTTCCCTGAATGCGCCCGTCCCTACACCTTCTTCCTCCCCACCCATCCCCCCCTTTTCAGACACACCGTGCCCACTGTCGGCAAAGGGGCGAGTGCAGGTGATGACAGTACCTTCACAGCTTTCCTCATGCCCCTTGATGCATGTATACCTGTGTGCATGTCGCTCCTCTGTCCCCTCAGACACACCTCGCCCGCTGACAGCAAAGGAGCGAGTGCAGGTGATGACCGGCGTGGCGGAGGGGCTGCAGTACCTGATAACACCCCCCTCCCTCTGTCTTCCCCGCCTCCCCCCCTTCCCCTTCCTCTGTCCCTGAAGACACACCAAGGCCGCTGACAGCCAAGGAGCGAGTGCAGGTGATGACCGGCGTGGCGGAGGGGCTGCAGCACCTTATGGTGATGTGTCTGCAGCCCTTATGGCATAGCCAGGTGATCTCTTGCCTGCAGTACCTTACGATATCCCTCTTCCTCTGTCTTCCCACGCATCTCTTGCCCTCGTCCTGTCTCCCCACAGACACAGCCCGGCCGCTCACGGCAAAGGAGAGGGTGCAAGTGATGATAGGCGTGGCGGAGGGATTGCAGTACCTGCACAGCTTTGGCATCGTGCATCGCGACATCAAGCCCGCCAACATCCTGCTTGACTCCAAGATGAATGTGAGCTGGAACATAGAGGGAGGGAGTGCAGTGCATGGGAGGGGCAGGGAGGTGTATGGGAGGGGACGGGAGGTGGAAGATAGAGGGGGACGGGAGGGATTGCAGTGCCTATCTGCACAGCTTTGGCATCGTGCATCGAGACATCAAGCCCGCCCGCTAACATCCTACTTGACTCCAAGATGAATGTGAGCCGGCAGTGTTGGATGGGATGGGAGGCAGTAGAGGTGGATGGGAAGGGGTGAAGAGAGTTGGTTCTTCGGTGTATACAAGCACCTGCAGCGACCCACTCTCATATGAAAGACCAAGAACGTTCTCCCCTCTCCCCTCGACCCTCTTCCCCTTCCCCTCTCCCCTCACCCCGTTCCAGGCCAAGGTGGCTGATTTCGGGCTGGTGCGGCTGGGAGAAGGCACGTCAGCTACCATGGCGTCTACCTGAGTGATGGGCACGGCATGCTATGCAATGACCCCTTACCTGCTCCTTATTCCATGAACCTTCACTTAAACTCCAACCCGGAACATTCTCCCCTCTCCCTTCACCCCAATTCAGGCCAAGGTGGCTGATTTCGGGCTGGTGCGGCTGGGAGAAGGCACGTCAGCTACCATGGCGTCTACCTGAGTGATGGGCACGGCATGCTATGCAATGACCCCTTACCTGCTCCTTATTCCATGAACCTTCACTTAAACTCCAACCCGGAACATTCTCCCCTCTCCCTTCACCCCAATTCAGGCCAAGGTGGCTGATTTCGGGCTGGTGCGGCTGGGAGAAGGCACATCAGCTACAATGGCGTCTACACGAGTGATGGGCACACCGGGCTATGTGGACCCTGCTTACTACAAGTCGCAGAAGGCCACCCCTGCCGCCGATGTTCACAGGTACAGAGCCGTGCATTGTCGCGCAGAGCGGTGCCAGCCGTTATTGGCCTATAAGTACGCTTGCAAGAGTGATGGCCACTCCGGGCTATGTGGACCCTGCTTACTACAAGTCGCAGAAGGCCACTCCTGCTGCCGACGTGCACAGGTACAGACAGAGTGGTGCAGGGAGGTGCAGAGCAGTGCCAACCGGCATTGGTTCACAAGTAGGTTCGCAAGACGGTTCAGTACGGTGCTTTGGTTTGGAGTTGCCCACAATAAATACCACTCACAGGCGAAGCACGGTGCTTCTCTTCTCTCCTCTCCGCTCCTCTCCAGTCCTCTCCTCTCCTCTCCGCTCCTCTCCAGTCCTCTCCTCTCCTCTCCTCTCTTCTCCGCTCACTTCCCTGCTTCCCCCCTCCCTCTGCCCGCCCCTGCCTGCGAGTGCAGCTTTGGCGTTGTCCTGCTAACAGTGATCACAGCTCGCCGGGCGATCTACGAAGTGGGGGACAAGCAGGTCAACATCAAGGACTGGGTAAGCTCTCTCTCTACCCTCCTAATGATTGGCTGGTTCTCTGTTTACCTGCCAACACACTGCCTTGTTCCTCCCTTCGAATCTACCAAGTGGGGGACAAGCAGGTCAACACCAAGGGCTGAGTAAGTCCTTCCTCTCCCCGCCTGCACTCTTCTGCTCGTTCTCGAATCTCTCTTCACCTGAAAGCACCCTACCTTGTTGGTCCCTTGTAATTTATGATGCCAGGGACAAGCAGGTCAACACCAAGGGCTGGGTGAGTCCTTCCTCTCCCCCTTCCCTTCTCCCTTATCGCCTACATTTGCCCTCCTGCGTCTCCTCTCCCTAGCAGTCAACTCCCTCCCTCCTTATGTCGCTACCTGCATTCTCCCATGGTGTGTCACACTGTGGCGGCCTTCCCGGACCCGCGCTTGAACGCACCCAACTCTGCTCTCCTACACATTCCCTCCCACCCTCACTTTAACTCTCTCCCTATCGCCTCCCCAGTCTCCTCCCCCATTCCAACAGGTGCTCCGCTTGTCGACGCAGTCTCCTCCCCCATTCCAACAGGTGCTCCGCTTGTCGACGCGTGCAAAGCCCAGGCCTTCCGGGACCCGCGCCTGGACCCACCCAGCCCTCACCGTCTCCCCCATTCACTAAGTCCCTCCCTTCTTTCTTCCTCCACCACCCATCACTCCGCCCCACTTCCAACAACAGGTCGCTCCGCTCGCCGACGCGTGCAACGCGCAGGCCTTTCGGGACACGCGCCTGGAAGCATCCCATCCCAACTTCACACTCTTTCTCCTGTTGTCCCTCACCCTCTTCCAACAGCAGGTCGCTCCGCTCGTCGACGCGTGCAACGCGCCGGCCTTCCGGGATCCGCGCCTGGAAGCGCCCGACGATCTCGTGCTGCGCCGCTGCGCCGTTCCCAATCTCCCTCCCTTCTCCTCTCTTTCCTCTTCCCACCCATCCTTCACCCTACCAACAGGTTGCTCCACTCGCCGACGCCTGCAACGCCCCAGCTTTTAGAGACCCGCGCCTGGAAGCGCCCGACGATCTCGTGCTGCGCCTCGCGCGCCTCGCCATCGACTGCACCAAGGTGCCCGTCGCGTCGCGGCCGTCCATGGCACGCGTTCTCGCGGAGCTCATGGATATGAAGGAGGCGTTCTTCGGGCCGGAAACGGACAAGGTGGTTTCGAGTATCGATAGGGAGATTGACGATTCGAATAGTCTGGGAAGCCTTACGATGGAGTTGAAAAAGGCGGAGCAGCTTGGAGCAGGCAGCGGGAGCGGAGGATTATAATGCTTTCTTTCAAATAATAAGTTATACGAGGTGTGGTTATGCAATGCGGCGCCCGTCGCGTCACGGCCGTCCGTGGCGCGCGTTCTCGCGGAGCTCATGGATTATGAAGGTGGCGTTCTTCGGGCCGGAGACCAACAAGGTGGTTTCGAGATAGGGAGATCGACGATTTGAACAGTCTGGGAAGTCTGATGAAGGAGTTGAAAAAGGCGGAGATGCTTGGAGTGGGCAGTGGGAGTGGAGGATTATAGTGTCTGAATATGTGCCCAATAAATTCGTTACACGAGATGTCTGTATAAAAGGGGTGCAGGCGAGCAAAGAAACCAATGTCTTTGAAAACTGGTTGTCTTACATATATATAGAGAGATGGTACAAAATCCGACATAGAATTGAATGTATCATGGCCACGTTGAGAAACTACGGCGAGACTCAGTTGGATGGGGTCGTCACTAACATACAAATTAAGCATTCTCAACCTGGAAATGGTACCAAAAAGGACCTAGGTTTCTAACCACTCCTTATCCTTATGCTGAGGAGGACCTTGCGGGAGCATTCATGCCCCACCCCGCAAGTTGAGCTGCTTGCAACTTGCACTGTAAGCTAGGAATGACTACGAGATGCCAAACAGCAAAACGGGCAGGTGTCAGAACATTTCGAACGTCTCTACCGATTGGTACTTTGAGTGTTTCAAAGCATTGCTGCTGAGCCTTTGCCTTGTTGGCTCAAGGAGTATGGTTCTTGTAAATACACCCAATCACACAACAACGTAAGTATGCATTTCAGCGACCTTCGCGTGGCACCTCAACCGAATCGAAAGATTCACTGCAGGATATTTTCGCACTACAGACAGTCAAGCCCATTGTTCAACACTGAGGACCATATGCGGCTCGTAAAGCTGCCCTGCCCCCCCCCCCCCAGGTGATTTTTCTCGGTTCTTTTCCCAACTCGATCGACATGCGGCTCGTGAATGTACCCCTTTAGGGCTCGACTCGACATTGGTAGAGAGAGAGCGAGAGCAGGACATGCGAGCAAGGCGGAGCATACACAGGCAGAGAGCATGCAAGCGCATAGGACGGATACTGAGGGTGGCCCTGCCCTGGACTCCAGCCAGAGTGTAATGCGCTAGCAGTCAGGACTTGGAAATTTCCAACATGGCAGGGAGCTCTCACACCAATGCCATGGCATTTTCCCGCGCAACATGGAATGGCCCGTTTGCCATGCAGGACTCAGGTCCTTCTCTATTTGTCGTCCTTTCCGCGCCATGTTGCCTGCTGTCTGACCTTGGCCTTCGCTGTTCTGCCTCTGCACCTCAACTTTGTTTGGCAAACAGAATTCGTTTTGATGTTGGGGTCTCACGACGATTCACGGCTCACGTCACGACAGCCGCTCATACACCTTTTGGCCTAGAAAATTTATCCACAGAAAGTCCTTCCTCACTGCAGACAGAACTTTCAGCGGATTATAGTTACTAGACATTGTCATTACTCGCGAAGCAGCCTTATCAGACGATGAACGCCATGGATCACTACTCACAATGTCGCTCGATGCATCACGGCGAATCCGATGATCTGCTTCTGCAGGTCCCCATTCGCTGGACCCCGCCGCATTCGCCACGCGTCCTGAACGTGGCGATGCACGTTGGCGAAACTGGTAACCCGTCCGTAAAAAGCCGCGGATTCCCCGTCGCTTTGCACCTTCGTCCAGACGACGCATCTCAGCAGCCAACCGCCGGCAGCAGCTTCGGCAACGTTCCGTCGATTGTGTCCCCCCGGCACTGCCCTCTTCCGCCTCATCCCCCCCACTGGCAATCTTCCCCCGATGTTCCCCGCGGGTCCGCGGCGGCAGGTCCCCGCGAACTCCCCCGGCAGCACTGCGGCAGGCCCGCGACGCGTGGCGCCGCAGATGCATGCGCCGCGGTTGCGCGCCATGGCGGCGGCGAGATCATCCTAGAGACGGAAAGCGGCGAAACAGCGCCGCGAGCAGTAACGACCGAACCGCTGGTACCGGAAAAACCTACTACCGTGTCTGGAAGACCCGCATCGCACGAGGACGTCAGCTGCTTCTTGCCTGTCAGCCGCGATAACTTCAACCGACGCAGAAGCTTCGAAGAAACAACATTGTATCACCGGTGGCACGCAGAGGCCGGCGCACGCGTGGCGCCACTGCCGCCGACCGCGGTTGAGAAAGGCGGAAGCTTCGCGTCCAACGAATCGGACGGTCCGGGCGAGTCTAGCTGGGAAAAGGAGTTTCTGGATTGGACGGAGGAGTGCGCCGTTGGCGCCGCCGCCACGCCACGTTTAGAGACGGCAGAGGCGGCTCGAAGGGCGTCCGGCGTGGCGCCGCCGACGCCGCCGGCATTGGCGCAAACGTCGAAACTGACGGAGGACGTTCGACCGAAGTACGGCAATTTCTCTCTTCGATACCTGGGGGTAAGTCTTTGTAAGATTTTAATGCTCAGCTGTTGGTCATTTTGTTTATATCGTTTTCAACGGAAAAAAAACGAGAGTTCTGTTTGTATCCTCGACCGCGTTTTAAGTCGCCTCGAAGTTCGTTCTTACAACGCGGCGGCTTTTAGTTTGACGCATTATTTACTCACTGTATTCCATCTTTCGTCCTTCTACGCGGCAGGGAAGCAAAGCCGCGCACCGAGTGGAGCCGCATGAAGACGGGGAGAAGGCGCACGATATGATCTCCCCGCGAGATGACGGTCACTCTCGCGGAAGCGGAAAGCATTCCCGCGCAAGCGGCGGGCACTACAATCTTTTCTCGCGCAGCAGCAGCAGGGAAGACGCACATTCCCGCGGAAGTGGCGGAGACGACGCGCACTCCCGCGGAAGCGGCGGGGATGATGGGCATTCCCGCGCAAGCGGGGGGGATGATGCGCACTCCCGCACAAGCAGCGGGCACTACAACCTCTTCTCGCGCAGCAGCACGCGGAAAGAACGAGCCGTTGCCGCCGCAACAAGCGGCGCCAATGCCGTTGCGACAGCAGTAGCACCTGGGGAACCTTCGCAAGTGGCAAGACAGATGACGTCAGGATCAACTGCCACGTCATATTGCGGTTCGGACTCGTCTTTCGGGGATCGAACCGCCGGCATCGGATTTCCCTACCACGATCCATTTTCCGCCTCCCCCCACGCCCGCGCGTTTCCGCCGCGGCTTCCGCACCCACCGTCCCCCTCCAGCTCTCCGTTCCCCTCCGTAATAGGAGTAGCAACGGCGGCGGCAACACCGGCGACAGCGGCAGAGGCGGAAATTAATGCGATGAAAAAGCGACTGGGTGCGAAGATGCAGTTTTCCACGTGGGAGCAGCAGCAGAAGGAGCGGAAGCAGCAGCAAGACGCGGCGGCGAGTGCGGCGCAGCGCGCGCTGAAGCAAGCGCAGGAGGAGCTGCTGATCCCCAAGTACAACGCGCCGGGACACGCGGAGCCGCCGCACCCGACGCATCAGGCGCCGCCTCACCCGCCGTTCCAGGCGCCGCACCACGCGCCGCAACAGGCGCCGCTCCAGCAGCCCAGTCCGCCGAAAACCTCCGTGCCGGAGGCAAAACTGCTGGAGACGAAATTGCCGCCCGGAGTACCGATATTCGGCAGTAAAGTGGAGCACTCAGGCATTTCCAGCAACGGCGATCATGGCGGCATGCCTTGGGGCAGGGAAATTCGCAGGGGCTACGAGGAGTGCGGAAGCGTCGAGAGTGGTGCTGTTGGGTTTGGAGGCGGAGTGGCCCGGTCTGTGAGCCGAGACAGTGCTGATGGGGGGGGGGCGTGGAGGAGGGATGGCGGGAGGAGCAACACACCGCCGGTGGAGCATGGCATGTGGGGCAGGGAGCAAGGGAGGAGTGGCGGAGAGTGCGGTGGTGTGCGGTTGGGAGACGTGGGGAGGGGTGACAGGGAGTGCAGTGGGGCGTGGAGGAATAACTGGGAGTGCGACAGCATGGGGTGGGACCACGGGGAGTCATACAATGTGGGCAGCAACGCGAGCAGCGTTGATAAGAGGGTTGCAAGTAGCAGCCATGGCCAATCTTCTTCTCACCATCATGCACGCGATTCGGCATATCGTACACACAACGCCCATCACTACTCTCCTCCTGTCAGCCACGTGTCACATGGCTATGCTGACTCAGCAGCCGGAGCAGCAGCAACAGCCTTAAAACCGTCGCCACCTGGCAGCACGGTCGCATTATCCGGGGCATCAGGCCACGTGGCACCATCCCACGTGGCACCATCCAACGTGGCATCAGGCCACGTGGCATCTAGTGGAGGCTGCAGGGTGTTCTCTCCGGAGCAGCTCATCGCAGCAACCAATGGCTTCCACTCCTCCAACCTGCTCGGCGCTGGTGCCTTCGGCCAGGTACCAACCTTCAGTGAACCTTCGCTTCGCATAACCTTCTCTGAACCTTCTCTGACCCTTCAGTTTGCTAACCCCTTTCTCGCGCATGCGCCATCCTCAATCCCTCTGCTCTCTGCTCTCTACTCTCTGCTCTCTGCTCTCTGCAGGTGTTCAAGGGCAACCTCTTGGGCTGTGACGTGGCAATAAAGAAACTCCAGGGGAACGGGTGGCAGGGCGAGGAGGAGAACGGCACAGAGGTGCACGCGTGCGCTCGCGCATGCGCCATCCTCAACATCCCTCTGCTCTCTCCTCTCTCCTCTCTCCTTTCTTCTCCCTTCTTCCTGCCTTTCCCCCACAGGTGTTTAGTGGCAACCTGCTGGGCTGAGACGTGGCGATCAAGAAGCTTCAGGGCTGCAGGGTGTTCTCTCCGGAGCAGCTCATCGCAGCAACCAATGGCTTCCACTCCTCCAACCTGCTCGGCGCTGGTGCCTTCGGCCAGGTACCAACCTTCAGTGAACCTTCGCTTCGCATAACCTTCTCTGAACCTTCTCTGACCCTTCAGTTTGCTAACCCCTTTCTCGCGCATGCGCCATCCTCAATCCCTCTGCTCTCTGCTCTCTACTCTCTGCTCTCTGCTCTCTGCAGGTGTTCAAGGGCAACCTCTTGGGCTGTGACGTGGCAATAAAGAAACTCCAGGGGAACGGGTGGCAGGGCGAGGAGGAGAACGGCACAGAGGTGCACGCGTGCGCTCGCGCATGCGCCATCCTCAACATCCCTCTGCTCTCTCCTCTCTCCTCTCTCCTTTCTTCTCCCTTCTTCCTGCCTTTCCCCCACAGGTGTTTAGTGGCAACCTGCTGGGCTGAGACGTGGCGATCAAGAAGCTTCAGGGCAGCGGGTGGCAGGGCGAGGAGGAGTATGGCACAGAGGTGCATGTGCTGTCGCGCATGCGCCACCCTCGATCCCCCTCCGTTCTCTGCTCCCTGCTCTCCCCTCTCTCTCCCCACAGGTATTCAAGGGGAGTCTGTTAGGCTGCGAGGTGGCAATCAAGCGGTTGGAGGGCAACGGGTGGCAGGGAGAGGAGGAGTATGGCACAGAAGTGCACGTGCTGTCGCGCATGCGCCATCCTCACATAGTGCTGCTCATGGGCCACTGCCCCGCCATCAACTGCCTCGTCTACGAGTTCCTTCCCGGAGGGGACCTTTCACACCACCTCTGCTCTGCTGCTGCGTCCCACCCTGCGTCTTCTGGTGGTGGCGCTGGTGCTTCTACTGTTGGTGGTGGCGCTGGTGCTTCTACTGTTGGTGGTGGCGCTGGTGCTTCTACTGTTGGTGGTGGCGCTGGTGCTTCTACTGTTGGTGGCGCGGCGACCAGCGCTTTGTCTTCACTCTGCCGCCCGCTCTCCTGGCCGGATCGGATCCGAATCTTATTCGAGATCTCCGGCGCGCTGCTCTACCTGCACCAGCACTCGCCCCCGATCGCCCACCGCGACTTAAAGCCGCAGAACATCCTCCTTGATACAAGCCTCCGCGCTAAGCTTGCTGACGTGGGATTGGCTCGCCTTATCGACTGCGGAAACGGGGACGAATACGGAGAAGGAGGAGGGGGGAATGTGACGGCGAGAGTGAGGGGAACGGTGGGTTATATTGACCCGGAGGAGCTGGTTACGTGTGAGGTGTCGGTTCTAGGGGATGTGTATGCGTTCGGGGTGGTGATGCTGCAGATGCTGATGGGGGACCCAGTGGTGAAGCAGACTGTGAAGGTGATGCGAATGGCGCATGATGTGTTGGAGAAGGGGCAGTGGAGCAGCAATGAAACCAGCAGCAATCACACTGGCAGCAGCAGCAACACCAGCACAGACAGCAGCGGCAACAGCGCCAGTAACAGATGGACACGTCACCTGACCCCAAGCCTGCACAAGGCAGTGAATGTGATTATAGGGAGGCTGGACGACTCAGGAGGGAAGTGGGATCGCGGTGCGGCGGCTGAGGTGGCAGCGATCGCAATCTGCTGCACCAATAGGAGGCGAGCGAGCCGACCGGACCTTGAAAGGGAGGTGCATGAGGTGCTGATGCAGCTGGCAGAGGAGAGTGCTGGGAGTGTGGAGAGGCAGCAAGATGCGGCCGACAGTCACCTGCTCTGTCCCCTGTCTAAGGTGAGCGAGGGTGTTAGTCATTTCTTGAAAGGGAGGTGCATGAAGTGCTGATGCAGCTGGCAGAGAAGAGTGCTGGGAGTGTGGAGAGGCAGCAAGATGCAGCCGACAGTCACCTGCTCTGTCCCCTGTCTAAGGTGTGTGGTTCATGCCAGTTTCTTTGGTCTGGGTGAGTGAACGAGTACCGTACTGTATACGATTTTTAAATGCCCATTACTATTCACCGGTATGCGACACGTGTGTTGTTGTGCAGATGCGCATGAGGGAACCGGTGGTGGCAGCAGATGGGTACACCTACGAGAGGAAGGAGATTGAGAAATGGATGGAGACCAACAGCAGGTCTCCCATCACAGGAGAGCCGTTTGAGCATCCCATGCTCACTCCCAACAATGCGATGAATGTGATAATCCAATAATGTGGCTGTGTGTCTCTAGAAGGGCGTGGTTAATATAAAATTTCTGTGCGTGGATGCCACATAAACTGCCTTATTGAAACCAGTGTTACCATCCCTAATTCCTAGGAAGTTTTGTACAAAAAACACTTGAGAAATGGATGGAGACTGTTATGAGTTGTAAAAGAGAGTGCGCGGAATAACGAATAACGAAGATGTGACTCAATGAACTGACAATACAATGAAGGCACGCGCTAATATAGTGGACCAACCTAGCTAGGCAGGAACCTTGGGAACACGAGGTTGGGTGCAGGTTGGGCAAAGGAAAGGCCGAAGGCGACGCGAGGTTGCTTCGGCAGCAAGCTAAGTGGCCGAACGTGCACTTCAAAAAGTTGGGGTTGTACGCGGTTGAGTAAACCTCTGTAAGGAAAAGGGTTTTTCCTTACACTACCCCCCCCTTTAAGAAAGGTGGTCAATATCCGCAGCTCGCCTGCGGGCGAGTTAATCACCAAGAAGCGGAGAAGCTTCAAGCGAGGCGGATGGCACCCAAGTGTCGTCCTCACTGGTGCGGTCAGTCCAGAAGCGTCAAGCCGAACACGATGCGCCAAAATCTTGGACGGGTCAAGCGTCGATTCTGGGACAGGTCGGGCTGTCGGGGCGGCGTTCTAGTGCGAGATGTCCCTCGTGGCAGGCACGAACTTGCGAAGGAGGCTGACATGGAAGGCATCATGTATACGCCAATCGTCGGGTAGCAGCAGCTTCGCGGTGATAGGTGTCACCATCTTGATGATCTTGAAAGGCCCACAAAATCGTGGCCGTAGCTTCGATGGGCCGGGCAGGTGCAGGTTCTTCGTGTCAAGTAGCACTAGTTGCCCAGCTGCCAAGACGAGTTCCCGTCGTAGAAGGTCTGTGTATTTACAGGAAGTGGTATTCGCCTTGCGAATTGCGCCCGCAGCCTTTTCGCGAACTTCCTGAAGTTCCGTCACAAATGTTTGTGACATTGGGACCGGGTTGTCGAGTGTAGTCGTTGTAGGCACCGTCGGGTCCATCCCATAATTTAAGAAGAACGGGGATTGATTAGTTGTGCTGGACGGGGTGTTTTTGAACGCAAACTCCAGCATTGCGAGCGAGTTTTCCTAGCGAGTGGGGTCTGAGCAGTTTGTCCTGATCAGCTGCTCCATAGTCTGATTGGTGCGCTCGGTCTGGCCGTCCGTTTACGGGTGGTATGCCCATGAGAACTGTAGCTTTGTGCCGTACTGCGCTCACGTCTCCTTCCAGAATATCGATGTGAACTTCGGGTCCCTGTCGCTGATGATCGCCGCGGGGATTCCGTGCAGTCGCACGACTGTTGAGATGAAGAGGCGCGCAGTTTCTTTGGCTGAGATTGTTGTACGACACGGTCCTAAGTGCGCCATCTTCGTGAGGCGATCGACAACGACGAGAACCGCGTCGTTGCCGGACGGCCCAGCTGGCAGCCCCGTGACGAAGTCCATCGTCACTTGTTGCCAAAGTCGTTCGGGTGGCTCAAGGGGTTGCAGCACTCCAGCTGGCCGCTGACGTGTCGATTTCATGGCTTAGCACACCCTGCATGAGGACACATATCGCTGCACGTCGTTAGCAGAATCGGGCCAATAATATTGACGGTGCAACAGCTTCTGGGTTTTATCCGAACGAATGAGAGGTTAGAATCATGGACCTCCTAAAAGAGAGTTCACGCAGCAGTTGGTAAGCGGGAACCCAAATCCGCTCAGTTCCGGCCTTCAGGTAATTGTTCCCCTTCTGCGTCGTCGCCTGCCGGTGATTCCCAGTCTCAGAATCCCAACCACTAGACCATTGGGATAAAAGGGCTTGTTTAAGTAGCGGGTCAGTGCGCCCATAACCCCCCCAGGCAACCGTGCCTGTAACCCTTCCCTAGGATCAATCGGGGATCACCAGTGGACCTCTGACACCCCCCCTCACTGGGATGCCCGAAGTGCACACACCGAGATTCGAACCCGAGACCTTCGCTCTGATACCATCTCAGAATCCCAACCACTAGACCATTGGGATAAAAGGGCTTGTTTAAGTAGCGGGTCAGTGCGCCCATAACCCCCCAGGCAACCGTGCCTGTAACCCTTCCCTAGGATCAATCGGGGATCACCAGTGGACCTCTGACACCCAGTCGTGAAGAACGGGTCCGTAGTGTAGTCGTGAGTGAATAGTCCCGTAAGTAGCGGGTTCGAATGGGTGATGAGCACTGCAATGGATTGAACTGTCGGTCGAGTAAGGGCATCGACGATGTTATTCGCCCCTTTCTTGTACGTGATGCGGTAGGTGAAATGACTCTCCATGTAGTCCAGCCACCGAATTCGTCGCAGGTTGACGTTGGGCTGAGCTCGCAGGTACTGTAGGGATTTGTGGTCCGTGCGAACAGTGACGTCGGCGCCTACCAAGTAGCAACGCCACAGTTTGAACGCGTGTATTATGGTGAGCATCTCCTTGTCGTGAATCGGGTAGTTGCGCTCACCTGCTTGCAGTTTGCGTGACTCGTAGGCGATCGGCTGCAACCCGTTCCCGAAATCCTGGAAGATTACAGCTCGGATGGCGAAATCTGAGGCGTCGGTGATGACTTCGAACGGCTTCAATGGGTCGGCGATGCGTGAGAAAGTTGAACAAGAATGAACTAGGTTTAACTAGGGCCTAGGCTTAGGAGCCTAGGCCCAACTAGGATGTCGAGTGGGTTGTGCCAAGGGTGAGAGTCGAGAAAATTGGAAAGGAGGGTTTCACTATAGGTTTCGAATAACATATAGCATGAGAACAAAGAAGGTGCACCACCTAACAGAGTTTATAATAACTACACTAACTACAGCTACAGGCAGTTACAACTATAAGTTCTGACACTCCCCCATAACTGCCTGCGGCAGGAGTTTGTGCAGAATACAGCCTGCAGGGGTACAAAAGCAGAAAAATAAACAAGCAACAGCACGTACTGCAGGCGGGCTAACTCTGGCTGGTCACCCCCTCCATCTCCTTACCCTCCTCCTTCCCCTCCCCCACACTGCTGCATGAGCAGCAGAGAGGGGGGGAAGAGAGGAGAGGTAGAGGGACGGCTGCTGGTTGCCTCACACCCGCCACCCCGGTGCCACTCCCCCTGCTCCCCCACACCCTCACACCCTCCCCCCCAGCGGCAGCTGCAGCAGTGGGAACGAAAGGAGGAGGAGGGGAAGGGAAGTATACGACCCAACACTCCAACACCCGCCACCCCATACCCTCCCCCTCCACGGCTGCAGGGAGACAAAGGAGGAGGGGGTGGGCGGGAAGAAAGCCGCAGAGCGGCTACATAGTGTCGGCGCAGGTAGGTCAGGGGCGGCTGCAGGGAGAGCAGGTGCGGAGAGCACCGTCGCGTGCCACGGGGCGCACGACGGGCAAGTTTAAGTTTAGGGCACCGTCATGTGCCTCGGGGCGCACGACGAGCAGGGCACCGTCGCGTGCCACGGGGCGCACGACGGGCAGGTTTAGGGCACCATCGCTTGCCACGGGGCGCGCGACGGGCAGAGAAGGAGTCACTCACCAACCGGGGGCGGGACAAGACGAAAATCGCCACGCGCTCTAGGCGCGCGACCGGAAAAAATAGCAGCGGAAGCATATTGGCGGGCCCACAGGCCAGGACGTAACACTCTCTGATAGCATGAGAAAGTTGAACGAGAATGAACTAGGTTTAACTAGGGCCTAGGCTTAGGAGCCTAGGCCCAACTAGGATGTCGAGTGGGTTGTGCCAAGGGTGAGAGTCGAGAAAATTGGAAAGGAGGGTTTCACTATAGGTTTCGAATAACATATAGCATGAGAACAAAGAAGGTGCACCACCTAACAGAGTTTGTAATAACTACACTAACTACAGCTACATGCAGCTACAACTATAAGTTCTGACACTCCCCCATAACTGCCTGCGGCAAGAGTTTGTGCAGAATACAGCCTGCAGGGGTACAAAAGCAGAAAAATAAACAAGCAACAGCACGTACTGCAGGCGGGCTAACTCTGGCTGGTCACCCCCTCCATCTCCTTACCCTCCTCCTTCCCCTCCCCCACACTGCTGCATGAGCAGCAGAGAGGGGGGGAAGAGAGGAGAGGTAGAGGGACGGCTGCTGGTTGCCTCACACCCGCCACCCCGGTGCCACTCCCCCTGCTCCCCCACACCCTCACACCCTCCCCCCCAGCGGCAGCTGCAGCAGTGGGAACGAAAGGAGGAGGAGGGGAAGGGAAGTATACGACCCAACACTCCAACACCCGCCACCCCATACCCTCCCCCTCCACGGCTGCAGGGAGACAAAGGAGGAGGGGGTGGGCGGGAAGAAAGCCGCAGAGCGGCTACATAGTGTCGGCGCAGGTAGGTCAGGGGCGGCTGCAGGGAGAGCAGGTGCGGAGAGCACCGTCGCGTGCCACGGGGCGCACGACGGGCATGTTTAAGTTTAGGGCACCGTCATGTGCCTTGGGGTGCACGACGAGCAGGGCACCGTCGCGTGCCACGGGGCGCACGACAGGCAGGTTTAGGGCACCATCGCTTGCCACGGGGCGCGCGACGGGCAGAGAAGGAGTCACTCGCCAACCGGGGGCGGGACAAGACGAAAATCGCCACGCGCCCTAGGCGCGCGACCGGAAAAAATAGCAGCGGAAGCATATTGGCGGGCCCACAGGCCAGGACGTAACACTCTCTGATAGCATGAGAAAGTTGAACGAGAATGAACTAGGTTTAACTAGGGCCTAGGCTTAGGAGCCTAGGCCCAACTAGGATGTCGAGTGGGTTGTGCCAAGGGTGAGAGTCGAGAAAATTGGAAAGGAGGGTTTCAATATAGGTTTCAAAGAACATATAGCATGAGAACAAAGAAGGTGCACCACCTAACAGAGTTTATAATAACTACACTAACTACAGCTACAGGCAGTTACAACTATAAGTTCTGACAATGCGCAAAACCGGAGGGGAAACGAGAAAATTCTTCAACTCCTGAAAAGCCGCCTCAACTTCCTCCCCCCACACGAAATTTCTGTCC